ATTGATTGTAGCCTACAATTTCAACTACCTGACACTCATGCTCTTTGTTTTACCCATAACCAGTCAATTAATAAATAGATGAGTTACACACGAACTACCACCTGTCAATCACTTTTTCCGCAGGAAAATAGGCAGAGTGATCTGTGTTGTTATAATGATAAACCTGGTTGGTAAAAAAGGTATCTGGCAATACTTGAAATGAAACCACAAGACACATCTGAAGAGGTGTGTAGGATTTGTGGTTAAGTTATCCATGCAAAAGATATGCTGACAAATTTACATTTGCATGTTCACCATCCTGTGCAATACAGCTCATTGCCAGTATCATCACACACAACTGAACTAACAGGAACCAGCTTTACCAGCCTGGATTAAGCTGGACATAGCTGGTTTTGGCTGGCCTCCCAGCCTGGCTATGCTTGTCAAGCTGGTTTTAGCTGGTCATCTCCCAGCCTGACCAGCTAAAACCAGGCTGGAAATGGCTGGAAACCAGCCTGGAAATGGCCAAAACCCCTCTAAAAACTTGAAATATGACATACTTTGTGTCAATGAACAAGTATTGGCACATATATTTAGGCCTACCTAAGTACATTCAGCTTATTAAATTAAATGCATTTGAAATGAAGAAGGTGTCAGGGTGTCACCTCACAGCAAAAAGATTGCTGGTTTGAGTCATTCGAGTTGTGGTCTAATTTTATTGGTGTTTCCTTGTATAAAATTTAATTGTAATCTTGTCAGGCAACTTTGGAGAATTTGATGTTTTCCCATTCCCCAAAGATGGCCACCGAATGAAATGACTTTACTTAAAAGTGAAAGTTGGTATTGGCAAACCAATAATACTGCTAGCTTATAAAGCTACTAATTAGCTATTTAATAATGAGGTAGTAGTTGGGTTTAGGTATAGATTAAGAATGTAGAATAAGATCATACTTTATAATGACTAACCAACAGTTAATATCTTAATAGGCAGGTAATAAGCCAATATAGTAAATAGCATGTGTTGTGACCTTAACTCAAAGCTACCATTGTCTTTTGTGTTCAACAGAAGAACGATAAGATTTGAACAAGTGAAGAATGAGTAAATGTTAGAAGAATTGTAACTACATAAAATAATAGGGGAAAACATGTCAAATTTAAATGGAATAATAAAAAGTCAGACTTAAGGCCTTAGCATTTCTTAACAAAATATTTGCGCATACTCACATTAGCATAATTTTTGTGACATTACAACAATACATATTTTTAGTGAGTGCTTTAGAGTTGGGATAGATGTTTTAAAAATACAATATATAGGTAATTTAATAAATATAAAAATAATATAATGATATAATATAATAAAATAAACTTTCGGCCGCCAGCTTTGACCCTGCTTGGACCAATGTTGACTCGTCATATAGGGTAAACTGGACTGTTGCCAATATGCTGCAATGTTATCTGAGAAGCAAGCACGACTGACAAAAATGACTGTTCGTTAGCGCGAGCAAAACAAAAAACAAAACAAAAAATTAAGAATAGAAAAAACCGCACTTGGAGAAAACCGCATATCTTGATTTGAGGCATCTAATCTGGGCTCCGTTTCATTCACCCGTAACCGTTTATGAAACTAACAAAAACTAAACTAAACTTAAACTAACAACTAAAGCATCTGGCTATATAAGTTAACGTTACTTATGTTTAATTTTAAGCACGCAGACGCAGATATGATTTCAATAACAGTAGCACGCGATGAAGACCCGTTATAGTGAATGTTGAAGTCTACTAAGTAGACAACTGAAATATGGCATAATAACCGCTCGCCGCTAATTTACCACACAGAGATCAAAAGCCTCCACAAAATGTCGAAGTACTGAACAGGCTGCTTAAAGTTTGAAGCTCTTACCTTGATGTACGATCCCGATCCAGGAGAGGAGGAAAAGCGGCTCTTTCCCCGTGAACATCTTTCTCCAGCTGCCGGTGTTGCTGCACTGTGCGCTTTTTTCGCGCGCCGATTAAAGTGTTCAAGCGGTGTCAAAGCTAAAATCTGCTTCAATAACGAACTTGCTATCTAATTTTCGTGTCGTCCGAAGAACACTGCTCGCTTGAATGAGCTGCTCTCGTGCGTATGCTCTTTAAGTTTTAGCTCATCTGTTCGTATCCTGAGTGCTGAATCGGGAGGGCTGATCTGACACCTCGACGAATGACATCACTAGAGAGGCGTAAATTTAGGGTGGACGGTGGGGACGTGTCCCCAGCAATATCCACAACTTACCGAAATGTCCCCACCAGTAATTTAATTCACTTAAAAACATTGCGCTGTCAGTATAAACATAGACATGCCGAAAGGGTTAAATCGCGTTCTCTCCTCGAGTCGTACCGCCCCCGAACACATCTGAACATTGTGATTGGCTGTGCCTTTCCCTGCTCTCATGTGAGTGGCTGCTCTCAGATCATAGTTTCAGATACAAACAAGTGGTGCTCGCTGCAGAGCCATTTGAGGAGAGGTGAGCTCCAGAGAGGGGGAGCTTAAGCTTGAGCTCCACCTTTTTTGCACTTCTTCTACGAGTGATGTCACTGGGGGTAGGGTTAGGGGTGGGGTTGGTCTACGCATTAAAACAGCTTACAGGAGGAGGAGCGACAGCTCATGCTCCCCCTCTCTGGAGCTCACCTCTCCTCAACAAACAGCGCCAAAACAACTGCGCGCCGTGCGTGGGGGGAATTTCTCGATGTGTGTGTGCGTGCCTCGCACAAGTGAGGATGGAGGTAGCAAGAAGAGGTGGATATAAAGAGCTTTTTCCAACGAAAAGTGTAAGTCACATGAACTCAAGTTCGCTACTGAATGAGTCCATCATGATAATGCCGTTATGCTAGGGTTTTCACCGCTTTTACGTTCAGTCTAAAGTTAAAGCAGACTAGTCTGTAAACAATATTCCCTGAACACTAACTGCAGAATAAACACCTACATGTAAACGTATATGACCATGCCAGTTCTCCTAATCTCTTAGAGTAACATCTCCAATTTTGGTTGAAACAATTTGTCAGAAAAACTACAGCCTGTGCTCCATCTTTTAATAATACTATGAGACATGTTTAATTTGTACGAAAAATGAACGAAAGTCTTTATTAAGCTCTCTCTTTATCAGTTAATAAACATTATTTCAACATGACACTTTCAGGCCTGTAGCCAGCATTGAAAGGGGTTATTTGTTTTCTGAAAAACTGAAACTTCTTGCAGTTATTCACCTGATTTTCTGTTTAATTGAGGTATAAATATGACATTTTAGTGACATTAAGAACTAATTTTGCTGGATAATCTTGTTTGATAGTTATTATAACTACACTTTTTAATGTACCAAAACTATTTCCTACCATTTTGTCAAATTGCTTTATTTACACATTTAAACTAAGTTTTATTACAGTTTTATAAATAATAAAAATACTTTGAACTAGAAATTAGGACTTAAAATTCTTAGAATAAATAAATGAAGTACAGTACAGATGCCAAAACCTTTAAATGCCATGTAAAATGAGCATTTTTCTCAGCCTCGCATATTTATGTTCAGTTATTTCACTTTAAAGGCAATAAAAAGAATGTATTTGTCACTATAAAAGTAAAATCACTGAGTCCACACACAGGAGTTGGAGAAAAATGCTCATTTTACAAGAAAATATTAAATGTCATTTAGAGGTTTTTGCATCTAAACTCTTCAAATATGTAAATATACTTATTTTTAAAATAAATTTTTTTTATCATAATTTTCTTTGGGAAATCTGTTAAAACTTGATTAAAATTAAAAACTGAAGCCCATAGGCAAATAACCAACTGGCCGGCGCATTCAACCTTCCTCAGTGAAAATTTGTCCATTTGAATAAGATAAATTCAAACATAATAATAATAACTTAATAAATTGTAAGAAGAGAGGATTACTTAATAATACATTTTAATAGCAGTTAAATAATAAATAGCAATATATATATATATATATATATATATATATATATATATATATATATATATATATATATATATATATATATATATATATATATATATATAAACAATATTCATTCTTGGCGGTGGTGACTTGTCCCCAGTCCCCACCATTGTCAAGCGCAAACCTACGCCCTTGGGCAGTTGCACAGTTTTATATGATAACGGCATATAAAAAATATGTGGAGACTTACGTGGAGAGTTTTAAGAAATTCCACCTGCAATGTACTGTAATACAATGATTAAGGTCAATCCAGTAGCTAAGGGTCATTATTTCAAAAATACAATTTATAATCCCAGACCTCTTCAAAATTGAGGCAACTGTCTGTCAATGGTTTCTTTCCACTAAAAAATTCATTAAGAATCTAATTTTACAGTCACAATTTCCAAATCCATTTAGAAGAGAATTCTTATTTAAAGATTTTAATCATGATGAATTTAACAGAACAGGGAAAGATTATTTGTTTTTTCCCCATCCTCCTAAAGTTGAGGTGAGCTTTAAAATATGTGAGATTTATGAATTTTTAAGATTGAAATTCAATTAAGATGTGAATAATTTTTTTTTTTTTTTGAGTTTGGAACAATTTTTTATTTTTCATTCACTATAAAAAACGTTGAGCTATTTATGTAACCCAATGGTTGAGTTAAACATATTTGGTGCTTTGTTGGGTTATTTTTACCCTTTATTTGATTATTTAGTAATAGTAGCAATAGATGGGGAAAAAATAGATTATATAACCCAATGCATTGGTATTGGGTTACAATAACCCATAGTTGGGAAGGTGCTATAAAAACCTAAAGTCGGGTTACATGTTGGGGTATTTTTAACCCAACTATTTTTTACAGAGTTCTAGCACATTTATTGATAGGGAACCACCATCCCCTGGTTTTACAGCTTAATCTAAAATACATTTTACTGAAGGGATTCACTGGCATATTTTGCATGCTGGTCATATTTATGTCATAAGAATTATGTCCAAACTGAATCAACCATAGTAGCCTCAAAAATTTAGAAGACACAAAACAAAATCTTAATATACTTTATCTAGTGAATATGTTAATGTCTCTGTACTAGTATACTCGCAAGAGCACTGCTTGAATCCCACTTGGAACTTAATTGGTCCACTTTTTTTTGCATATTAAAGCAACTAATTATTTACTACAAACAAAAGTCAACTATAAATATACTTTCACTTGCAGTAGAAATGAAAAATATTATTACTGTTACGCTTAATAGTTAAAAGCATGTACTTTGTATGTGTCATTGCTTTTTCTGCATGCCAAGCAATTTGTTTCCTCTAGATCCTCAGTCCCATTTAAGAAGTCACTGAAACCTCTCATTTGGAACAACTTGAACAGCTGTCGCTAAATGTTAATTGTCTTAGCTGTCACTGTCTGCTATGTTTATTCTGCCGGTCTGATAAGATGGCTGAGAGCACAAGAAACAGCTTTGAGTATAAAAATGTTTGAAGTGTATGCTGTATTCAAACATGAAGGCAAGCTGAATTTCACTTCTGACCATCCTGATCACAGAAATATCCGCTGATCATTTGAGATATTGTTTGGAATTGTACGCACACATGTGGAAATTTTGTAAGTCTATCTGTGTTTCGACCAATCAGGTTAAATTGTTCAGGTAATTGTTGTTGATTTGTGATTGTAAAGCAGCCTATGAACTCTTTGTGAGTGTTGAAGCTGGCTTCTGCGGATGATCCTTTGCAAACTATCTTCAGCAAACTATATGCAATGGAATCTCTGACTCTGGCTTTTCGTCATCGTGATTAATACTGGCAGTTACGCAACACTTTCATTATAGGACTAAGATGACTAAGATCATACAATGCTTTCAATACAGTATCTGAAGTTTGTCAGGATGTCATTTAGTAAATTCCCTTTTGCTTTGTCAGATTGCTATAAAAAACACATATCTTCTTTGACCTTAACAATTATGCAAATACACCAATATTTCTCCAAATATATGCTCTGCTGGGTTAAAATCACTACTGACCTCTTTAGAATGACACTGAGACTACAATAAAACCATATGAAATGTGACCCACTTTGAAATAATCCATAGCTACAGTATAAGACATTATCATGTTTTGCAAACTGTAAACTACGACACAGCTCTCATGTAGCAGAGTCTTTTCTTAAAGTGGTCAAATATCAAAGCTAGAGTGTTATATATGTTTTGCTGGCTGAAGAGGTTATTTTCTACTGGTTTGCTAAGGTTGCCTATAGTACACCTTCCTGTTCTCTAAGTATGAGCATGTGCGTTTGGGGAAGTGGTTTGGTGCTTTGAGCTTTTCTACTTCTTTTGTTGTCTCTTCTATGGTCTGGTTCAGACAAAGTTGCAAATTAAAATGATGTCTAAATCTTAAAGTCAAACATATTAAGATCTACTCACCTAACAGTAACGCTGAACTGTAATTCATGCTGTATGTTAGATTTGCTGAAGATCTGCAAGTTATAAAGTCTATTGAATTCACTGCTGGTGTTGATGAATGTGAAAGATCCAGTCTGATAGTGGTCTATCTTTGAATCTCTCACATGGTTGAGATTCACTCAACATAGAGCCAATTTACTGTTATTATGTCCATTCATCCAAAATATTTTATGTTTAGTGTGCAGAGTTAGAGGATCTCCCTTCATCGTATTCACTTGCACAATCTCAACACCAAACACACCTGAAAAACAGGATAAGTAAATACTTTGTACAAAGTAGGTGAATTAATTCATAAATATACACTCAAAATTCTGGAAATATTTTTTGGGGCCACTTATTTGTTTTATATTCAATATGCTTCAATTTGAAAAAACAATTTGTGTTGGGACAACATGAAGGAATTTTGTGGAAACCAGCTTTTTTTTTACAACGTAACTTTCAAATAAGCACAGAAGAGTGGATGATTGTCATTATTGACTGTTTCAAGACCTCACATGATCAATAATAAGTCAAGACACGTATTTCTATAATGCCCAGATCCTACAAGTACACAGGGTAAGCTTTAAGATTCACACTCAGATTGATAGTAGACATTACCACGGTGTCAACTAAATGAACTAAATAAAAAAAATAAGAAATTATAAGTTGTAAAATAAATACTATTTAACTAGTACTAATTAAATAGATACTAGTATCTAATGATAATTTATTCAATTTGTTTTTTAAATTCAGGGACAAAGTGGTAGGTTGTAAGTTTCAAGGGCTCTTATTATATAATTTCACATCAGATGCCCATGAAACCATTTAGATAACACTGTGGTAATGTCTACAATTCATCTGAGGTAAAAACTGATCTGTGATATCTAATAGTTTTATTTAAATATTTTTTTCTATCAGTGCCAAACTGTCTTTTGTGTAAGGTTTAAGGGGCTCTTATTTAATAATATTACATCAGATACCCATGAAACCATTTAGTCGACATCATGGTAATGTCTACTATTAATTTGAGGTGAAACTGGTCTGTGATATCTAACAGTTTTTTTTTTAATAATTTTTTTAATCAGGGCAAACAGTGTTTTTTGTAAGG